TTTGTGGTTCTTCAGTTCCTGTCTTGCTTGTGCTTGGTTTCTCTTTGTATTTAGCTCTTGCTTCCAAGTTGCAGCATTATTAACATCCTGCTTGCTATATTTAAATGTATGCTTTCCATGGAGAATCCAAGTAAAAGTGATTTATCTTAATTTATAAGATTACTTTTCCAAGGAACTCTGCATCTGTGATGTCTTGTCTATCGCTTGTCACAGTAATAATCACATTTGTTTTATATTGCCTCACACCTATATTTACAGTGTACACTCCACAGCAGTCAGGAGCTTGGCTTGGACATATCAGCAGGATTGGCACCTTGTCACAAGACCTGGCCATGAGCTCCACACACAGTCATTGCTCAGCCAACTGCTAGCAGCCATGAAGGCCCTGTGAATCCTGTCAGAGGTAGGATCTGCATCTCTATTCAGTGTGCTGCACACAATACTGGAAAGAGGCTAGCCTTCATATCACCAGGTTCCACAAACTTCCTGTCTTCCCTTACTTCAGCACATTCTGTTTCCACCATGCAGATTTTGCCCATCCTCTGCCAGACATGTGAAGGCAGGTAGCAGTCCCAGGAGGTGCAAATCATCTTTATGACTAGTGGGCCAGCAAGGGTGGAGGAGGTGATTTGACAGACCTTGCTGGTCTGCAGGGTTAGACCAGAGAAGATCTCTTTTGGTGAGTCTAAAGAAAAATGCATGGTTTAAAATACAAATTTAATTTATTGCTGTTAGCTGTGAAAACCTCTTCCATTTGCTTTATGCATGTCAAGTCTTTTGCCCTCGTGCAGAGATGCTGTTGGCAAACCGTAAGCCCTAAAAGCCAGCCACAGAGCTGTCTCTGCAGTTGACTGATGAGCTTGAGCTCCTTCATTGAAGTTCCTGGGTTCTCCTTGGTTCTTCTGGCTCCTGCCTTTGTTCCCTTCCCTCAGCCTTTTCCACTGCTGCTAACCTGACAATCCTCAGTGAGGCTCTGGAGCCACCTATCCTGGTAACAGTCGCATACTTCCCTTTTTTCCTCATATTTGGTAGTAATAAAATATTCTTAATTGGAAGTGGCACACCAAGCAACCCGGAAAGGGTTGAGGCTACCATTAGAAGGCAAGATCAGTTGCATGGCCTTTACTAGCAGGGGCTCCCATGAAGCCAGTGCTACAAAACACTACTAAAGAAGCTAAGTCATCTTGGGTATTGTGGCACTGTCCTCCCTAGCCATGTCTTTGGGGCTGGTATTCACTGATTGTAGGCCCACACCCATGGCCACAGCCTGCATGACAGCCTCTTCCCCTCCCTGCCATCTTCACTCAGCTTTGCCTTTGGGCTGCCTGTGCTGAACAGGCCTGGCAGCAGCCACCTCACACGGATGTCCGTGTTGGTGAACTGGCACCTCCAGACGGGAGCGGTCCAAGGCACACTGTCCTAGTGGCTGGGGGAGGCACCAGGGAGGGTCTTAGCCTGTGCAGCTGTGCAGGGCCTCCCAGATACCATTTATTTCCACATTCAGGTGCTGTTTAAGCTTGGGCAGCCTTGGCAGTTGGGAAACGGGGCTTTGAAGGTGTCTGAGGGAGCATTCTTACAAGATGACACAACCTGTTAGTCACATCAATACTGGGTTGTTTTGTTTTTTTGGCAAAGGCATGCAGAGGTGGTCTCTCCCTCTAGCACACCTGTTTCTGGTAAGGACTGCATCTCTGAGCCAGGGTACAGCCACCAGGCCCACACAGCTTGACCGAACTGACAGCCTGAGACTTTCCAATGTCAGCTCGACAGCCAAAGTCTTCAGAAACTCCTTCCGGGTGGTGAGGTGGGAGGGAAACATGGCAGTATAGCCTTGTCCACCATGCACTTCTTCATTCCTTCCCTTTCAGCCCTGTCCTTTCTCAATACCCAGGAAAGATTAACTCCTCTCCATGCACCAGAGAAAGTTATTATCATTAATGAAGAATTAAAAGGGAGTGATTAATAAAGGGCCCTTATCTGGAAGCTAGGAGGAGGCTGGACAATGGGAGGAAGATGGAGAAAATGAAAAACAATAAATATGAAGTGTAAAAGGAGGCGAGCACTGCTCCCACTTGTTAGATCGCAGCTGCATCTCCTGAGGGGGGAAGGCTCCAAATTGCTAATTACTGCCTCTGAAAAGACCTCGTTCTGATATGTTTTCTGCTGAAAGGTTCCCATTAATGAAGCAGCGATGATGCCGTTTCCCTTTGACTTGCCTTCAATTCCCTCCCTGAGCTTCCTCCCAAGCCGGGAACAATGAGGCCCTGGGAGCTGGCGGCTCCCACAGGCCTCTCAGAGACTAGGCCGGGGGCAGCCGAGTGAGGGGAGCCGAGCCGGCTGTGAAATATGGAGGGGGGAGATAAGGCAAAGACAGAGGAGAGAGGCTCACTCCCAGGAGCCCAGGGAAAATTTGCAGTTATTATGAAGGAGATGAGACAGATTAAAAGCCCTTGTGTTCTGCGCTGCCCTTTTATTTAGTGGCTTCATCTCCAAGATGAAAGAAGTTGGAAATGACTTTCTCCGCATTTTGCTGCAAGAAGCTTCACGGCACATTTTTGACTCTATTCCTCCCTTTGTCTCTTGTCCCCTTTCTGTCTCTCTCTTTTTCCTTTTAACCCTTTTTGCTGAGAAGCACCATGGGACCAGGCAGAGCATTTGCTGGGGTAGAGCAATGACCCTTCTACTCTCCCAGTCGTGCTGGGCTGTACCTCTCCTGCTGTCCGCCAGGGAGGAAGCTTGGCAAAGGCTCTGCCATGACACGCTGCTCGCATACAGCCAAGCTTCCTCTCCTGCTTACCTCAGAAGCGTCCCTCACCACTAATATCTCCTTTCCTGCCTCCAGGCCCAGCAACAGTTCAGCACTGGTGACCACAGCCTCTGGGCAGAAAAAACAAACTGTATGTACAAAGTCCAGTGACAGAAAGCAATCCAGTTGGGCAAGAGTGCTGAACATTTTGTATCCGTAGCATATTTCCCCTGCAAAACTAGCCCTGGGAAGATGGGCCAGTTCCCATTGTCCATGCAGTGAACCTCAAAACTGCTCAGAGAGCAATTTGCCAGGGATACAGGATGAAGCTGAATACAGGCAAGGATTCAAAATTTATGGTCACTGGCCCATGTCAGTGTGAACCTTGTAAAAGAGGACAGAAATACCATAAACTGTTCAACATTGGATTACCCCAACTGCCCTGTTATATTTCTCAAATTCCTATTCCCAATTTTTTGATTTTTCCCTGTATACATAAATGCTCATTTTAGTTCTTGGAACTCTTGCAATTGCAAAAGCAGCTTTGCCCTGTCTTTTGCTTTAGCCCTGTTCCTCTCTCAGAAAACCAACCTTGCACACAAGTCTGTCATCTTACTCAGATTGAACACTGCCAACGTCTGCTGAAATTTGAAGTGTTGAAAATGGCAAAAAATTGGAAAGGTGAAGTAAAATTTATAGCAGTTGCCAAACAGTTTGTTAACTGACAGAAACAGCAGAGAACTAGTTGGGAAAATGAAGGTAAAGTAATAGAGTGGGCATCTGCTGCCATCTCCCCAGGACATCCAAACACAGGATTTCTTGTACACAATTGTTTGTCTGGTTTGTTATCCTGCCTGGAATGGCAGCCACTACCAAGGGCTTGAAATGAAGGGGTAAGAAGCTCTGAAGTGGATGTTTACAGAATAACCTTCCCATCAGGGGAGTTTTTCTCTAACCCAGACATTTTGTAGCTGTTTTTTATCCTGAAGCATGAAAAAGGATTGCAGCGGTGAAACAGGATTAGATTTTAGGAGGGATTGGCTCTCAGATCTGAGAGTAAAAAGAAAACCCCTGGATTGGAAATAGGAAACTGACAGAGAAATCGAAATACCGCAGGCAAGTAGGATGAGTTACTGCCATAGAAAGGGTTAAAAGACAAAAGAACAGAATTTTACACAAATTTGTGTGCAGAAAGCAACTTAAATGAAGTCAGCTGTTGAAAATTGGACAAACATGATCTACCTAATGACTGTTTTTCTTCTTTTAATATTTCTTTTTCAAAGAAATTTTGCAGAGAACTAAAAGGTAATGAAAATGTTAACATGACAGCTCAGGCTGACACGAAGGACTAGTTAAAGAAACGCATGTAGAAAGCTCGGTGAAGCGAAACGATGGCTGTGTTATTGGGGTGTAAGAATCAATGGCAAACTCAAGGATTCAGTGATTTTTTAAGTATCTTGACAAACTAGGGAGGGTGCCAGAGGACTGAGGAAAAACAAGCGCTGTGCTAGTCTTTTGGGGGGCAAGTGGGGAGGAGGCAGTGATTCTGGCAATTATCACCCTTTCAGAGTAACTTCTGTTCCTGGTGACATGATGGAATAGAAGCAGAAAAAATGTAAAGATAACAAAGGAGAAGAGATCTATGAGCAATAAGCAGCAGCGCAGATTTGTAGAGAACAAATCCTGTCAGACAACCTGATTACTTTCTCTGATTGAATTTGCAGAATTAGTGAAGACAACACCCCAAACATAATATATCTGGACTTTGGCAAAGCCTGTGATACGCTGCCTCAGAGAATGTTACTTTAAAAATGAACCAGTGTTGAGTGTGCAGCCACCTGGGTTAAGAAAAAAATCCAAAAGCCCATACGGAAAGTGGGAAATAAAAGGAAATGATAAGCAAAACTGGACAGTGGCAGGGTCACACCTGGCTTTACTCTGGTGTGTAAAACTGGACTGATGTGAGGAAAAGAGGTGCAAGGCTTAAGGAGAGGGGAGTAACACTGTGAGGTTTAATTTAGGAGTTGTTTTCCATTCTGATACACACAACTAATGTCCCATCACCGAATTGGAGCCGTTTGGGAACGGCCGCAGCAGCTGAAAGCTCGCCATCGGCCGAGGGAACTGCGCTGGTCCGAATGTGAGACCAACCCCTCCCGCCGCCGCCGCCGCCGCCGCCAGACCCGCCCCTCAGGCGGGGCGGACGGGGAGGAAGTGGCCCGGGGAGGCCGGAAGCGCCGCTGACGCGGGGCTGGCAGAGCGGGGCGCTGGCCGGTGAGTGGGGTCGGGGTGAGGCCCGGTGGTGGGTCGGTGAGGGTAGGGTTTCCCAGTAGGGCCAAGGATTGTTCGGTAAAAATACCGTCTTCTACTCAGGGGAGGGAGACGGTGTGGTGGCCGGGTCTCCGAGGGCGGTCGGTGTAAGGGAGGCGGCCTGCGGCAGCAGGTGCTTCACTAGGGTGCGGGTGTTTGTGAGCCCGGTGGGATGTGAGGAGAGAAATTCCACGTCTGCAGCTCACTGGTGGGGAGAGGAAGGTTGTGACGTGAGGGATTTGGCCAAGACTTTGGGATTGGAACAGTGACAGCTCTGAGGTGGAAGAGGGGGGATTTTTTGGCAGTAGGAGTTGGAGCTCTGTTTCATACACCCTGTTCTAAGGAGTGCGGGGTCTTATGCCTTGGTTTGCTGTCGATGTTTTGCAAACTACCTTTTTTACCGTATGTATTACTCAGCTTTGCTGCTTGTCTCTTTTTTGGAAGACTTGGTCTGTTTGCTGAGCAAGCTAACCATTTTCTGTGGCTTACTGACGCCAGGTAGTTGTAGGCTCCGATATCCTTAAGATGTGTAATAGAGCCTGCTGCTTCAGTGTAAAAGATGCAACATTAAGGCCTCTTTGGACACAGAGCACTTGACCCAACTGCTGCAGTAGCAAGATCTCTGCTACCATGGTTAGAAGAGAGTTATAATGCTTGCAAAAGGAAGGAGTGAGCATTAGCCCAGGAAGCAGCAGTTGTCCTGCATTGGGGTCTCCAAGACAACTCCAAAGTAAGTACATAACTTGGTTAATGTTACAAAGGCTGTAGTATACTGTAGTCTAGTGGTGTGCTGGTAGCAGCATTTATGCCTGCTGCTAATTGTTTGTTGTCACTTTTGGTAGACATTGCCAATGGATGAACTGGTGCATGACTTGGCCTCAGCCTTAGAGCAGACTTCAGAACAAAACAAGCTGGATGAGCTATGGGAAGAGATGGCCCTAAGCCCACGGCAACAGCGGCGTCAGCTTCGCAAGAGACGGGGTCGTAAACGCCGCTCAGACTTCACGCATCAGGCAGAGCATGCCTGCTGCTTCAGCGAGGCCTCAGAGTCAAGCTTGGACGAAGCTGTCAAGGATTGCCGTGAGGTGCTGACAGCCAATTTCAGTGACTCTGATGACACAGGGGTGGTCAAACGACACCCTGCTCTTAATGCCACCCTGAGAAGCAAGCAACACTCATGGCATGAGTCAGATTCCTTTACAGAGAACGCGCCCTGTCGACCTCTCAGGCGCCGACGGAAAGTCAAACGTGTGACATCGGAGGTGGCTGCCAGTCTCCAGCAAAAGCTTAGGGTGTCAGAATGGAGTTATGAGAGGGGCTGCAGGTTCAAATCAGCCAAGAAACAGCGTCTTTCACGCTGGAAAGAAAATGCCCCTTGGACATCATCCAGTCACAGCCTTTGTGAATCAGGAGAGAACAGGCCCTTCCTCAGCAAAGGGGGAAGGAAGGAGCGGATGGAGTGTGAAGCTGATGAACAGAAACAGGGCTCAGATGAAAACATGTCAGAATGGTGAGATCTCAGTTTTTTCCCTGTGCTTGTCAGACTGGCTGCATTGCTTGCAGCTGCTTGTAAAATCCTATGCTTTGCTTTTAAGAAGTTATCAAAATTATTCAGTGCTGCTTTCTTTTTGAAGAGGAGAAATATCTCTGCTACTTCTAAACTGCAAATTTTTTCCAAGTCTTTCCTGTCAATGCTGTACTGCTGACCTGAAATGCTTCCTTGAAAAGTTGGCAAGTCAATATGGTTTTGGCTCCTGTTACACAAGAAGCCCTCTGAAGTGTCTTATGGCCCTGCAGCTGCAAAGTGGCATGCTTGTGAACTGAGTTTTGGAGAGTAAATCCACCCTTGGCACTTGTGTGATTGATACGAGCAGATCTCAGTTTCTTGTTTTCAGAGTTTACTGTAAGTTATAATAGAAACAGATCAGATCTCTTCCCATCATGACCACTAGCCGTCTGTGTAGGTACTGTGTGAACCTCAGTCGAAACATCTTGTTTGCAGTTCTCCGTCTGAGCTCTGGATCTGGAAAAATGTCTTGAAAGGCTAGCTATAGGAAAAATGTAGAAAGCCAATGAAATCTGGAGGAAGTGTACCAGTATAAGGCTGTGCTAACAGTGGAGTCTGGCATGTCTTTGTGTCCAGTTTTGGAGACCTTTGAATTTGTGTCAGAATCTCATACAAGAAATGAAAATGAGAGGTGTAGATGTCATGGTCTGAATTTGTGTTGCTCTTGGGAAGATTTCCCCTGGAGTGTGACTTTTATTGTTTCCATAGAAGGTTTGAGGTTATAAACCTGCTTCTGTACAAAAGATATTTCAAGTTAGAAAAGAAACAACTGCTGAGAATCAAAGTGAGGAGATTTGTTAATGAATGAAATACAGAAAGTGAATGAAGTTGTTTATTTGCTAATTATCATTGTGTAAGAAGCAGGAGACATTGAGGAAATATTTAAAACAACAATTTTTTTGGTTTTTTTTTTTTTCATGAGACACAAGGTTTGGAACTCTGCTGTGGGACATTTTGGATGTCAAAAATTTAATTATGTCCAAAAGGGGGATGTGGAGCGTAGGTTTACTAGGGTCTGTTAAGCATTACAGTGCAGATGGAAGATCTGGCTCGGGAAGTCCTTAAAATGCTGACTGATAGAACCTGGAGGAATATACAGAGGAAACAGCTGGTCTGTGTTTGTCATGTTCTCATATTCTTTTCTCACGCATCCACTATAGTGGACACTATCAGACAGAGGACAGTGGATTTGGTGTGGATTATATACTTTGTGATCCAGTATAATTGTTCATAGGTTAAGGTTCACCTAAGTGTTGTGGCTGAGTAGCTCCTGTAGTTTGTCAGGATAGATGAGTGGTTGTTGAGGGCTTTGTGGATAATGGCTGTAAGTGCAAACTTCTCAACAGTATTTTCTGGGAGCCTGTGAAAAGCATAGGTTGTAATACATCCTCTCTGTCCTCATCTCGGGGATCACTATTGCATTTTTACTGAATCTGTGTTTTGTATGTAACCTGCACAGGTTGGAAGTAGCAAAGATGTAATTTTTTTCTTTAAGAAGTGGCTACTGTTTGATTTAAAAGTAGGTGCAGTGTGGGCCTTTTTAAGAGACTAATCAATGCCTTTTCACTACTAGCTGTTAAAAATACTTCTGTCCAGAGCTGTTTGTTGGTAGTCCAGGAAGGGGAATGTGCTGACTACCCATGAGTGTTGCATGTCAGTGGTGATGGACTGAGAGATACTCTTACTTGATGTGGCAGTGATGGACAGTGTGCCTTCAGACTTTTTTCCCACCAGTCAGAGCCTGTTCCTCCGTCATGTCAAACTTGAACTTAAACCAGTAGGCTTTTATCCAGCCTTTCTTTGTGACAGCCTTTCAAAGAGTAAATAAACAACTTTGTCCTACTTGAGGACCATGCTGGGAGATTGCTTTGTTCTGTCTGTTGTCCCTTGCTCTCAGACTAATTATTGTGCAAGTGTCTGCATCAAATAACATTTACCATCAGCTGCCAAAGCCTTGGGATTCTCTTTGGAAAGCCAGGGGTTGAATATTTGACCTCTCCAACACCACATGTGTGATCTGTGCTGTGACTCACTAGGGAGGGTCAAAGTTGGAGAGAGAAATACATACAACCCTCTTAACTGCAGAGTATACCTCACGGCAGTGGAGGATCATGCTTTGGTCTCTGCTGCTCTAAATATAGCACACTGCTGGTAGCAGCAGGGTGGAACTGGCTGTGTTTACCTCACTTGCTGTGTCTAGCTGTTTGTCATGTTACCATGAGAGAAGTACCTTGCACAGGTAAGGGCATAATATCCTGAGGAAGGGAGAAGAAAATTGGGTGCTCAGAAGAGTGAATGGTATGGTTGTCATCCCCAGTTGATGGGAGGGAAAGTGACTGATACGGCTTGTGGAAGTCAGGAAGACAGGAAGCAGTTTGTAGTAATCTGGTGATTTACGAAACACTTTGAGACTGAACTGGTTCCACTACTGTTCACTTCTCTAGCAGTGGCGGGTGTCAGAACTAACGTGGTTTTAGGCAAACTAAGTTGTATATTCAGAATTACAGGTTGTTTTTTGTTTTTTGTTTTTTTTTACCACCTTTTGCCTCCCTTCTACTGGCACTTGCTTTTCTTTGTTATATAGGAATGAATCTCTGTATATGCTAAAATAACCAGCATTTCTTTGCCTTCCAGAGGCTCCTCATCCTAAGTCAGATCAAAACCCTACTGTATTCAGTAGATAAACTGTCATTCACTGAGGAAGCTTTGGATATAGATCCTTAATGATGAGGTAGTTTTATTTAGCTTGCTTGTGGGACAGTACCCAGTCTTTTCCAGGAGAAAGATGTGCTGCAGAGCTGTAATTCAAAGTGTTCATAAAATGAATTCTTTGAAATTGTTTGCCAGACATAGCAGGAGATGAACAGAAATTGAGAGAAGGGAGGATGTGCAGGAACACAGGAGGAGGGAACAATGGCCATTCTAAATTGGGTAATGACATGTCTTAAAGACTGATCTGTAAATGATTTTGGAAACAACAGAGGAAGCAAGTGGTCTTAGCTGAAGTAGCCATTTGTGTATTTGTACAAAGGTGATGATGAACTGCTAAGACTGTTAGAAGTAACTTGCCCTTCTGTCTCTTAATGCTTTGAGATTCCCTGCAGCCATAATAAAGCAAAGGCAAATTATATATTGAGTACTGAATTTCCTCCTATTGCTGGTCTAAGCTGAGTATTCCCAGTATGGTCTGGGTTTGGCTTGAGGGCAGAGCAAAATACAGTGCAAGAGCTGTCTGAAAAAAATCACTGTGAATGGAATGGTGTGCTTACTAGTGAGATGTGCACAGTTTGTTTAATCTGCTCTCAAGTACCATAACTTCTAATGTGACTGGGGACTGTACTGACCCACCAATGCTGTGTGACTTCACTGGCTTGATGCTGATGTATTTGTTGTGGTTTAACCTGGATAGGCAACTAAGCCCCATACAGCTGCCTGCTCCCCCCCCCCCCCCAGTGGGGTGAGGGAGAGAATTGGAAGAGTAAAAGGGGGAAAACTTGTGAATTGAGGTAAAGTTGATTTAATAGGTAAAGCAAAAGGTATGCAAAAGAAGGCAGGCAGATGTTTACCCATCTCCAGGAAAGTGGGCTCTTTTGTGTGTAACGGATACTTGATAAGACAAACTCCACCCCTTTTCTTTCTCCCAGCTTTTATTTCTGAGCATGATGCCATATGGTATGAGCTATCCCTCTGGTCATTTGGGGTCAACTGTCCCTGCTGTGTCCCCTCCCAACTTCTTGTGCACCCCCAGCCTGCTCACTGGTAGGGCAGTGTGAGAAACAGATGGCTTTGGCACTGTTTAAACGCTGTTCAGCAGTAACCAAAGTGTCAGTGTGGTATCAACATTGTTTTGGTCACAAATCCAAGCGTAGCACCATGAGGTACTATGAGGAAAATTTAACTATCTCAGTCAAAACCATTACAATATTGTGGCTTGGAAGTATAACCAGTGCTCATCGTGAGCGTGAAGTAATTTCTTTACCCTTTGGAAGGGAGCTGTTTCGATGACAGCCTGCAGTGGCAGTCAAGAGCCTGGCTTAAACTGATGAATTGGAGGTCAGTCTCTCTAAAGAAAAAATTCCTCTCCCTTGGAAGGCAAGTGACAAAGACAGAGTATTCAGCTTCCCCTCCTTCTCCAGCCCACACTGACCTTCTGCAGCCCCTCAGTGCCTCTTGTTTTCTTATTTTTATAGAAAATCAATATCCCTCCTGACACAAACAATAGCTCAGGCAAAAGAATAAATGGGGGAAACCTGAGATCTCTGTCCATCAGCTCTCACTTTAACTCCCCCAAACTATTTAATTACAAGCATGCTTTGCTCCAGGTGTTTACGACAGTGAAATTGCTAAATGAGGACCATTTTAACCAAAGATTGGGTGATCAATAACACTCTATAGCAGTAGCTTGTTGAATCAATAGCATTCATTATTTCATGGTTAAGGTAAGTAGCCTCCTTTGCAAGTGGAGGTCATTAATCAGTGCTTACTGGACCTGCAGAGAGGCTTGTGTGGGAGTCTAGTTTATGTTCAGCCCTGAAGTGTAAAAGGGGTGGTAAAGAGGGTGAGATCTGTGAAAGTTTGTTCCAATGAAACACTGGCAGTAATGTGTACCTATAGGGAACTAGAGAGCTCTCAGTACAACAGGATGCTTAAAATACTCTTGATATGATCTGGAATCTTGACAATGCTTTTTCCTTTCTCAGGCACCTTTCCTCTGCGGATGCTAAAACCCTTATGAAGCAGTCACTCAATCCTCACATCTGGTGCTTGTGAGGACTGTTAATCCAGGCTTTCAAAAGGGAAAGCAGGCACGCTAAGAGATTTGCCCAGGGTCATACAGTGAGTTGGTAGGAGAGCTAGGAATGAAACAAATGACTCATGGTTCTCAGTCCTTGGCCTTCATTGCTATGGTGTATATGTGGGAGGGTGACTGGATAGCCAGACTTTGTAAGGAATTGATTTGGAATTTTATATTAATTTACATACTAAAATGTGGGAATGATGTACAAACTGTTCATCCTTTAGGTTTAAATGGCCTTTATACAATGATGAAGATGCAGAGTTTATAGATATCCAGCATGATGGTTTGATTTGGCTGTGCTTTGGAGTGTATTTTCTAAGAGCAGTATTATGCTCACAAGATGTGTTTTTATTAGCTGCCTGCAATTCTTTAGGGTGACGTATGTTGTGGACGCTCATCATTCAGTTTTCTGAATCAAGGACTATCCAGTTGATACTGGTGTTTAGTATGATCCGATTTCTCTGAAAGAGAGGGACCCAGAGGTGCTAACAGCATGCCCTGATCAGAGATTGGTTCTAGTGCTGAGTTATATCTGATGTTTGCATCTAGGGCCTTAGTGCTGGAGGATGGGCATTGCTTGTTCTGATATCTCTCCACTAAATCCAGAGGAATTATTGCTCAGTGTCCAAAGATTGATTTAATATCAGCATTAAAGCCATCAGATGCTTGGGACTGACCTGAGCATGTACATCTGCTACAGATATTCATCCAGCTTTACAGTCAATTAACGGTTTTCTACACATTAGTTTCTAGTTTAATTCTTTGGTTCAAGAATTAAGTCTTTTGTAACTGCGTCAGCAAATGGAAAGCGTTCTGTAATGAGGCTGCATTCAGCAGCAGCAGCAAGTCATGCTGTGCTAAGGTATTTAGCTAAAGAGTTGTAAATGTACTAGCTACTCTTCCCTCCAAATAAAATGAAAGTTGCCATAGATTGAAGGGGAAGTTTATGTACCTGTATAACATTTTGAGAAAAAGGAATCTGAAGTAGAAAACTTCAGAGGGTTTTCAGTTAGCTGTTAAGTGACCCAAGGACAGAGTTTTTGGCTGCACTTAATTTCCTAGTGAGTATTCCAGACACTGTCATAGTTAGGTTATTAACTCTAGTACCTGAGGCAAATGCCATTGTATTAATTACTTTTTGATAACTTAGAACTATACTAGCTACAGGATTCTTTTTCAAGTGGTGCAGCATTGCTAGATTTTAACAGAAAGCAATTACGCCCCATGCTAGACCAAGCCAGTTATCTGAAATGCATTTTTTTTTTTTGTGAGATAGCTAGAGTATTTTGGGCTCAAAGAAGCTAGTAAAATGCAATAAAGTGTTTTTTTGTTTTATATCTGCTGCAGTTGTAACAATAGGGTTTTCTGTTTTTTGTTCCAGTGAAACCAGCAGTGTATGCAGCAGCAGTGATGCTGGCCTGTTTACCAATGATGAGGGCCGTCAAGGTAACAACTGTCTGTTTTTTCTCATGTGTTGATGGGGAATTTCTTTTACTTTATTCACAAATACAGAAAAAGATCTGTGTTTGAAGAGGGATAGAGAGGGAAGTATGGGAGAAAGGCCAGTGTCTGGGAGGGCATAGAAGTTAAGAAGTGAGCTGAGGGCTACAAAGGTTGATAACAGTGCACTCTTCTTGCTGAGATAGTTTGCATATTGGATCAATAATACTTGAAACATAAGAAGCTATTATGATGGAAAGGCACAGAAATACAAGAGAAGTTTAAGAGCTGTTTATAAAGACCAGAGTTTATGATTTGTTTCTATACGTGTTTTAGTTGTTGTCTGCATTCTGTTAGAGACTATGTTAGTTGTTTCTCTCTGTGAGCAGGGAGAGATGATGTGGAAAAAAAAATCAGTTAGTACTGACAAGTCACCTAACAGATTGTGCTAGGAAGACCACAGTGTGTGTTAGGCTTTATTTCTTTAAATACACATTCCTCCCTTACTCTTATGTACATTAGTTGAGTCTAGTATTTTCAGTGTCTGTTGCAGAAATAGTTTCTTAGGAGGTTTGAGTGTGGAATGTAGTCCGTTTTATTTATCGGTGACAGCCCAGTGTCCAGTTCATGGGGAATATGGAAGAAGTAAGAATGAAAAGAGGTTGTAGTAGGTACACAGGCACTCAGGAGCAGGTGGAATGTGACCCTAGAGACCTGCAATTCTGTGCAGCTTTTTCTGGTGTGCATTCTGATTCAATCTCATTTCACAAGCTAAGATTTGGATGAGATATCTTCTGGGAATATATGAATGCTAAAGGAAGTAATATCAATAACTCAGTAGGAGATGCTGCTTTTACTAGCTTGTTACTGACCCAGGTATGTGTGTGTGAGGACAACACAATGATAGCAAATATGCTTACATGTTTTCTGACGGTATGTTAGGCAGTAGGGCTGATCTATTGTGATCTTAGGTGGCTATAATATTTTCCTGAAAATTAGGGATTTCAAATATCAGCCTTGACAACTTTGACCTTTGTTGCCAGCCTCCTGTCCTTCAAAAACAACAGAAAAGTCGAATCTTTTGTCCTCTCTTTTTACTGATGACTGTTCTGGGGGGACTGAAATTAGTGAGCACTTGTGTATCAGATGGTGAAGCTGGGTGGTGACTGAAGTGTTGAATTTTTACTTCATCACCTGGGACAAGATTGATGTAGACTGGATAGTGTGTATATATATGCTTGTCTGTATGCTTGGCCTATATACTTGCTCTGGTTTTATACCCCGTTTTAGATATTAACTCTTGGCTGCTACTGGAAGTAGGATACCCAATACAGCACATAGAATATACTCTTTAAATAAATAAATAAAGTTGAATTACAGCCTCCCTTGTCTAGGTACTAGAAGAGGTGTGACATCCTACCCATCAGGCCCCTGTTCAAACAGTTTATATTGTAATAGCTTTATGGACAAGATGTTTTAGCTTGCAGTTACGTTAAAAAGGATAAAAAAATGTTGCACTTTCTAGTTAAATAAAAACCATCTCCCTTTCATTTTCCCTCTCTCTTTTTTTTTTTCCCTTTTTTGGCCATTTCTAGTCATAAATAATAAACAATAGTTCTCCAGTGTGATGAAGAAAGTACAAAACTGTCAGGTTTTGGGTTTCTTGTCATTGATCATCATCTTAGAAGTAGTTTTCTGGTACAATTCCAAAGTAAATAACAGGAAATTTAAGCCAGCAGTGTACTTCAATTGAATGTAGTCCCCCTCCACTTCTTTTGAGGTTACGTCATGTAATATTTGTCCTGGTGTTAATTAAATAGGCTGTCTTTGCAGTTCTAGCTACCAGTGCACTTCTGTGAGCAGAGAATGCTCCTAGTTTATAATTTCATTGTAAATTTTGGTGCATTGTGATATCTCGTAGTGGATGTATTAGCATATGACCCTAATTGTTAATGTTTGTCTTATGAAAATAGTGATTCGAGATATGAGGGTGCGCTATGCTGGTAGATCCAAAATTGTGATAATTTTGCACAAATTTTGAATACTTTACTATCCAACATTACTATGAGATGGATAGGGATATTTATATTTTAAAATATATTTGTTACAAGCGTGGTAGGTCAGCTGACATACCACAGAAATAAAAAGCAATGTCATAGCTTTGGGAAGAAGTGTTCTGACTGTCTTACCTGTTGTTGCTTGGAGTTGGCTTTGGGTGTTGCTTCTTCTGTTATGTGAAAGATTGCAGCATTCTTACTAGGGTCAGGCTTTTTTTCCCTTTTTTTCTTTTTCTTCTGTTTTTTTTCTTGTCTGGCAAGATGTGTAGGTATGCATAATAGACTTCAGTGAGAAAGAGTATAACTTCATGAGGAAAGGAGAGTAGGTGGAGATGCTTGACTTGGGACTTAGTGGTAGGCAAGTGAGAGTTTTCCCAAGTCAGGTGTGTTATTTTTTTAAGGCAATGTGAAGTACCTTGCAATTACATGGGATTGTTTGTTATGTGAGTCAGGGTCTTTGCCACCTTCTTGCTTTTTTCTTATGCTGCTCATGCACTACTGCTCTCTGTTTCTGGTGAGGCAGATTTACCATGAATGATGCAGTTATTTTTAGACTGCAGCTGCATTAATTACAGTGACCCTGCTTTATGGAACTTTGGTCATGACTTCTGTTGCTGCTCTAATTTTGAAGAGGTTTGTAGTTCTGACAGATTATAAGAAATTTTGATGGAGAAACACTCACAGCATGGTTAGGACTTACAGTCAGAATGACCATTTTTAATACCTGTGTGTTTTCCTCTTAGCTGCTGTCTTAGGAGACTAGGGATCTTTCTCATTAGTGAGTATGCTTCTTTTTCTTGCTCTGTGAGCCTGGTCTTCTGTTGCGAAGTGTCTCCTGTGACAGCCTATAACGTGTGCCAAATGATTGGCCTCTACCTCTGTCACAGTAATTACTTCAGAGAAAGAGTTCTGCATAAGACATCACACAACATTGAACTGAGGCTGATGAGATGCAGTCACAACAGAGTGTTGAAGCTGCCCTAGGCAGGTCTATAAAGAGGGCTTTGTTCTATAGGGAAATTCTGTAGACTGATGAGTTGGATAGTTTAAAGCATTTAGTGAGGCCCCGTAGTTACTGCAGATCATTGAAATGGAATACAAATATAAGGCTCTTCAGGAAGGAATTCCTAATGAGACTTCAGTTGTTTCACATCCAGAAATGTGAATACTACCTGTAATGTTTTGTGGGGTTGTCACAGGGCACATTGATCTTACTTGTGGCTAATTCCATCCCATTTCTTTAGGAGATGATGAGCAAAGTGATTGGTTTTATGAAGGAGAATGTGTTCCAGGATTCACTGTCCCCAACCTTCTTCCCAAGTGGGGAGCTGACCACCGATCTGAAGTGGAACGTATTGACTCTGGCCTGGAGAAGCTCTCAGATTCCATGTTCCTTTTGCCCTCACGGCCAGCTCAGAGAGGTGAGGTCCATAAGGAATGCCATGAGTTTGAGAACTTTTGACATGATGGCAAGAATAGATTCTGGTCACAGGCTCTGCAATTTAAATGCATACTAGTGATATGTATTTTTTTCATGATCCCATCAGAAATATCTGCACTACTGGAGAGTATACTAGAATAGCAGCTGCCCACATTCTTGAGTCTTTTTTTTTGGTGTTTTTGTTTTTTTAGTAGAGGTGTTATTTGATTTGTGAATAAATGGGAATATCTACCTCTTGAAGATTGGGGACAGAGGATCTGAGTTGACCACTGAATTGTTTTTCCTGGTGGTTTTGTCAGGAAGAATCTTCTGTATTCATTGCTCAGTTTTTCTGGATTTGGTTTTCAGGATTTCATGCTCGCCTGAATCGCCTTCCAGGAGCTGCTGCCCGTTGTCTCCGAAAAGGTCGGAGAAGGCTTGTTGGCAAGGTATTACCTTTTGCAAGATAATAATTTTGTATTTCCAATGCTGATCTGTCCTGAAGTACTGTTCCAAGATATCATGTGAATTGTTTTCTGCAGAAAGAGGCCACTTACAGGTTTTTTCGTGTATTGTTTGATCTGTTTAACTGCTTTGACTGCCAGAAGTCGATTGAGTGACTAAGTGGATTTTAAGGCAGGTTTGGAGTGGCAAAGGCAGTTGTTCAGTGCTAAAAGCAATATGAAAGGAGGTCTGATGATGAATGACAGGGAGCATAAATATCAAGAAGCTTTAGACAATGTAGGGGAAAATGATGGTGGCATAAGACTTGTGCGTGCTCATAATTTGAGACTACAAGGACAGAGAGGTGACTCAAAGGTAAAGGAAAGCCAAATTTTTGATAGAGAAGCAGACTGATAGGAATGGCAGCAAAGGAAGGTGGTTTTAGCAGTTGCATTTTTAGTGGAAAAACAGAAGAATAAAGGGTATATGCAGTATTGCAGACAATGTTACCTAAAGCCGTTGACTACGTTTATTATATGTAGGGCAAACAACAAAAAATATTAGTCCTGTTTCTAAAGGAATTAAGCAATACCTTGTAGATGCCTGTCTAGAAGAGGGAGGGATACATCTGGTTGGGTCTAGATCTTGGAGTGTTAGGTGCTGCTGGCTTTTGTGAAAGATGTTTCTGAGAAGGAAGATGTTGGCTGTGTTTGGCTTTCTTTTTTTTCGGAAAAGCTCTGTGCTTTTGAAAATATTTGCATATGTTCTGAACTGACTGGCTTCAGGGAGTCTCTTAGCGAGGTGTGTTAAGAGGGGCGAGCAGTGTGACTTCTTCCGTCTGTTCAGTCACACTTGAAAGATCCTTGTTTGACCCTTCTTTCTTCTACTCACTTTGCTTAGTTGTAATCAGATTTAAAATATGAATCCTCATCTGGCAAGAGACCTGCTTTGGGTAGGGTTCCTCGGGCCACCTGCAAGTGACTGGGTCTGTTGGCAGCACCTCTAATGATCCAAATGAGAAGGATAATATTTACTTGTTTAATTCATCTTCATCACCTTAAAGGGATCTTTGTCATTTACAGCGGAGGTCACTGTTCCCCCTTCCCCATCTCTCTCTAAATTGTAATCATAAATAATGAGTTTCATTCAAAGCTCCCCGCCAGCGAGCTGCTAATTACCAAAAGTATGGCTTGTAATTTACACAGTAATAAACGGTAAATTTAAGCATTGCGGCACTTGAAGTTAATAATTTTCCTGCTGTAACAAATAGCCCATCTTTCACCCCTGCTGCTACAACTGCCCCCAGACTTTGAGTATGGTTTGCCTATGTGCCTGGCACAAACAAATCTTAACCTGTGAAAGCTTTTTACCCTCATCTTCAGACCCTTCCTACAAACTGTGTTTCTTTTTTGGAGGTAGTAGCTATGCAGACATGAGTAGTTGGTGCTTTAGGTGGTGTGTGTACGTGTAAGCCAGCATCAAACACATACACAGAGCAGTGTCCTGCAGGGGAAAGTGTGTTCCCAGAGCAAGTTCCTTCTGCTCGACCTGCCTTTTTAGCTGCTAGAGGTCCTGCTGCTTCCAGAAAGGCCAAATCTTCATTCATGAAACAAGTTTCATTTACCTGTACTTGCTGAATCCCTGTCCTTAGTATGACAGTGTCATGTCCTGTCACTTGGCTTGTTTCTGGCCCAGCTGACCCCAGCAACCTGGAAATAAGTACTTCTCAGCTATTTCCCTTGTTATTGACTGCATTCTTATGCTGCATACTTTGTATTGGTCCAGTCCTTGGTGTGCCCTGTGCAACCGTTATCACTAAAATAAAAAACAAGCCCCACCAATAAAACAAAATTATTTTTTAATTAGTTATATCAGCTCAAGTTTGGATCTAAAAGGAGAGAATGAATATGTTTAGTTGAGAGTGGGCTGGGAAGAATAGGATGTGGCCCAGGGGAGTAAGATCTATTTCTACTGGCAGCAGCAAACTATTATGCCTACTCACTGTGTGAGAATCTGCAACCCTTTGCCTGTCTTTGTGTTTCAGGAGACCTCCATGAGCACTCTGGGCACCGAGAGGCTAGGTCATATTGTTAGTGATCCACGCCAGAAAGAGTAAGGCCCTTAACAGCTTGTGTAGAACTTTGGGAAGGGTGGAAGAGCTACAGTTCCCTCCTGGGACTGAAGGGAATGAAGAGCTGGGTGGTAATTTAAGTATCCAGTGATGTGTGGAATGGGAGGCAGTCTTCCACTGTTGGCTTCTCTGTTTTCTTTTTTGCAATTGCTGACTTTCCTTTTGTAAGGCTACCCTATTGTATGGACTCTGCTGAAATGTCCCTTTGGTTACAGTCAGCTTTTTCTTTCCTCCTGCATTACAGTGTGCTGTTGCAATAACTGCAGATCTTCTGCACAGTAGGAGAAGACTGAGCCCTATATGTTAGGTTTTTATAAAGCTTCTGTGTGGAGTCATGCTATGAGCACATACCCAGGCTGCAGAAATGATGCTGACAAGGCAGCCACAAAATTGCTTTCTCTCTGATGTTCTGTCTCCTTCCCCAATTAGCATATTTAAAATGTAGTCAGCACCAAAAATAGTTATGGTGCCTATCCTTTGGCATCTCTCCAATGCTCTTCTTGTTGGGCAATGGATAGGTAAGGATGTAGGCTGAACCCACTGCACTCTTAACTATAGTGCAGTGGGTCTACCCTTCACCAGGTGTTGGTATCAGTTTTCTTCCTTAGGTTTGTAATTCGTTGTTTTTAATGAGTCCTGCTGATGTTTAATCTTTCTCCTTCTTTCTCCATCTTTGTTCTTTCCCCTTCTCTCTTTACCCCCAACCATCCCCTGCCCCCTGTGTTTATTCCTTCTTTGGCATTGCTCCCTCCTGTCCTTCTGACTCTGCCTCCTTCCAGCTTTTGGTTACCATCCATGGGGAAGAGAGATCGCAACCAGGTAAGCTGACTCTGCTCGACCATTTTTATTTTCTTGATTTCCCTCTCTCTAGAAAGAATAAAGTGCCGGCTTCCGATTTCCCGCACACTGTGGCCTGTGCACATGAGGTAAGGCAGCCCTGTCCCTTCTCATTTTGTTAACTGATGTCTTCTGGGCTTTGAACACAACCCATGTCTTGGGCATTATATTGTCTGTTTAAACTGAATAGCTCAGGAACTCCTTTTGTTTATCTTCCTGTTTCAGGTTAGTGTGTAGGCCTTCCTTTCTGACAGTGACTGGGAGGGAAAATGCCTCTTGGCATGAGAAGTTTTGACTTCTCAAAATGCCATAAGAATTGGAACCTTTTTCTCTTTTTAAATGTTTTGTTTTGCCTTGTTTGACTGAGGCTTTTACCTGATAGTCTCTTCAACAAAGAAGGGAAAAAAATTTTGATCTGATTGCAGTTAAATAACAGCTATAACAGGAAAATGTAAGAGGTCGTAAGTGAGAGAAATAGGCATTCTTGTAACTGAACTGTATTTTCCAGTGGGTCTTTCATAGCTCCAGTGCTGGGAGGCTTTTTTACTGAAGATATAAGAGCTCAGGTTCTTAACTGCAGAAAGCAAAAGGATCTTCCATTCGAGCAGTTGTGTTGCAACACAGTTCCTAGCCATGCACGCCCCTTTCTGTTCCTTTGCAAGTTGTTTTTTTGGCTGGTGAGCAGTAGGATTGAAATCCATTTTCTCCTTCAGGTGATTAAAAGTACATACATGGCAAGAAATAATTTTCAGGCCTTTGTGCAACTGTGTATTTCCTGTTAATGAGAGCATTTCGCATACTGCTTTTACATTGCTAAAGAGAAGAATGATAACTACATAAGCTTTAAAATGACCAAAATAAATTACTTTTGTTTTTCTTAATTGAACTTGAATTGACTGTGGAGGCTTACTGGTGATTCTCCCCTGCTGTGCAGCTGCAGTGTTACTTCACTGACAGTAAACTAACAGTCCAGCTTGAGGAGAAGCTCCCCGTCAGCGGCAGCTTTGTTGTGCATAGTGCCTGTTCCTTCTCAGAAGGGTTGAAGGTAAAGGCCTGGGACTGAGTTCTGGAGTTGCAGATAGCTTTTATGATGAGTTCTGCTACAGCTGTGGATTATTAGTTTGTCCTTATTTAAAATGCGTCAGCAATCCTAGTAATACAAGAAAGGTGTTCTGGAGGTTGTGGTAGCACTTTGCAAAGCAGATGGAAATTAATTTCCTGCTTTAGGTGTGAATTATGAATAAAGAGTAAATGCTGAATGGAAGTGTGATGCAGGTACCCCAGAGAAACTATCAGTCTAAACCTTGTATTTGCATATTGAGCAAAGTTTGCTTCATGCATTGTTTGACTCGATTATTCAGTTTCTGTCCTGACCTTTAAAAAGAAAAACAACTTCAGAGTTGCATCTTCTACAATAAGCTGTTTTACACAGGTTTAATGCTTTCAGGATTTGTCTAATCTTAGGATCTAAGGCTAGCCTGACTCTGCAGTGTTTGAGAAATCTGTTTAAAGCAGTTTGCAGAGAAACCGTGTGAGGTGGGTTGGGAGTGGGAGGAGGAGCTCACTTGCTGTGGAATGAATTGGGAGCTCCTTGTGAACTGAACCTGGTGGGCCCAAGTCTTTTAGAAGTTTGTTTCAGTGATCCATGCAACCATAGAGAATACCAGAACTTCTCTGTGGGAAGTGGGAAGAAACTAACTTTTCTCTCTACAATGTGATGGTAGACATAGGCTTCATGAATGGGAGGCAGACTTTTTGCTTATGGCATGCAGCAGTAGAACACTTTGAGTATGCTCAAAGTTGACCGTCATTTTTAATAGTCTAAGTTGAAAGAGGAGCATGCTTATAACGCTGTCTGTTGTGAGAAGATGGTTATGAGATTTGCACCCTGTGCTTGCTTTTTGTCTGAAGTGAGAGTCAGTCCTCACCTTGTCTCATCCTTGATGTGTCAGAAAGGTCTCCTTATACTTGTATGAACAGCTACAGGGAATAGATCTGAGTGGCTGTACCTGAAGATTCTTGCTTTTAATGCTTTGCTTAAATAAAATCTCTTGACTTTACAGTTCAATCCATTATCTCCTTTGTACTCTCTGGATGTGCTTGCTGATGCTTCCCACCGAAGATGCTCACCAGCACACTGCACTGCCAGGTAACTCCTTTGCTCTGCTCTTTTGGGGTTGTCTCACTTCCCTCCCATGGTTATCTTCAGTACTACTGTGTGGTTGAAACAATGCTTGTGGACCTGGAAGTTAATCAGCTTTTCCCTAGGAGGTCTGTGTTCAAATTTAGCATAAAATGTATGGATGCAGCTTATTTGAGAATCCCAATAACCATGTGTTTAGAGTATATGAAACAGTGTACTACAGGCAGGCAGAACATACTGTGCTTTTAGAAGTAAACATGATCTGTTCTGGATTGTGGGTTGCTGCAGAACTGTTGTATAGCTACAAAAGGGGACAGTATTGTTGCCCACTATTAAAATCAGAACAAGATGAGACGCAAAGTGCTGACACGCTTGTGTGGGTGACATGCTGAGGCATTTTGGTATTCTGGGTGCCTAAAATAGACCCTCTAGGCAGACTCAGATCTCACCTGAGGTGACCTCTGATGGCTTGGTATCTCTCTCTACTGCTGAAATTTAGATCTTGCCTGGCCAAACACTGAGCTATATTTGAGTCTGCATAGTTGGGGTTAATATGCTATTCAGGCGCCTTCTGCTGACTAAACCTGAATTAAATTCAAGTGTTGGCCTTGGAGGTGACTCCTGTTCTTGTGCTGCAGGTGACTGGCTAAAGGTAAGGTGCCCTTGAGCTCTTTCCCATGCAAGGAGGCAAAGCCTTGGCTGGGGAACAGTTCTAGTTATGTGCTTGCATGAAGGACCAAATCTGAAAGAAACGTCTGGACTTTCAGCTTCATGGCTTTCTTTTTTGTGTTAATTAGCAAATAGAGCATGAAAAATGTACTGAGGTTGTATGTGTCTGAACGGAAGCTTGGCACCCACCCAGCAAAGCCTCTCCTCCCACTGGCTTCTGCAGGGAGTTTTGTGATGTCGCACCATGACCTCATGCTGCTGTAGCCAGCATGTTAAAGCTGGAAAGGGGGAGGGAGGAAGAAATCCGCTCATACACATTCAACTGGATGAGAATAAAAGGAATTCAGAAGATTGTGCATCAGCAAATTGGTTGCTTTTGGGGCTTTTGCTGTGCTCTGGGGATGTTTTGTGCCTGTGAAGCAAGAAGATCGGCGTCTTCACTTACAGCTAAGATAACCTTTCTAGAGCCTTTAGTGTTTTACTTGGTGCTCTACAGAGGTTTGTTTTCTAGAAAGAAGAGCTAGACAAATCCTGGTCACAAATTAAACAGGGTGAAGTCTCTACCTTTATGATCATCAGCAAATAACCAGTAGCTTTGGAAGGGGCATGGCAAGGGATTTCTAAACCTGGAGGAATCATGATTGCTTGTTTTGGCTGAATATGTAGTCTAGCTAACCAATGAATATATGCTTAGTTCCTTTCTCAAATGAGCAGCTGAGCGCTGGCCTTACTAATCCCTGATGAATTGTTACAGAATATTGGCAGAGAAGTTGTCCCATCCCAGAGGCAGGTGTCGTTTTGAGTGCCTGTATTTTGAGATACTAGTTCCTGTTTTCATGTGAAATGTGCTCAAGAATCTTTATACGAGAAAGAAATGTGGGAAGAATGAACGTTATGTAGCCCCATCTATGTGGCAAGGATTGAACTTTTTGGTACATGGTACTTGCTGTCAAGGGTAAAGATGCTGTCAAGGGTAAAGATGCTGTCAAGGGCACAGAAGGAAATTGTTCCTTCACAGAAAACATTTTTGTGACAATAGTTGGTCTTTAGGTGCTTCAAGAGACAAGCCTATTAACAGTCCATTTCTTACAGGAGGTTCAGGTGGTCTCTGTAAGCACTGTCCAGCAATTGCCCCAGTTAACATCATCTTCTTTTGCCATGGATGGAGTTAGTTCCAGTAGTTTGTGCTTTGGTAAGCTCCTAACAGCTTGCACCTCATCGTGGAGAAACTCTGCTCAGAAATTAGTCATAAAATGGTTTGTTGGGGGGAGTTAAGCCCTTGAAAATGATATGAAATGTATTAGAGAAGAAACTCTTGATGGTTTGGGCATCTTATTTCTTCAACCTGCTGCCTCTACCGTGCCATGCAAAATTACCTCTCTCTGCTTAGTTTCTGCTAACTCAAAGGCAGGTGGAGTCTTCGCTCTCCCATGGAAATGTTTTCTTTGTCTCAATGGCAGATTTTGGTGCAGTTCATCTGGAAGACTTGTAACCCAGTGCTTTGTTTAAGCAGAGCTGAAGGCTAGAATACTGAGCACAGTTGGGGGTGTTCAAGAACCTCCTCTTTGACACTGAAAGGCCTATGTGGAGGGTTCTTTGGGAAGTCTTATTTGAGAGGCTGTATAAATTGTACACTACCAAGATTACCTTTCTTGCTTTATGTCTGTGATGAAATTTCATTCAAAGTGTATGCACAGCACTGGGAATTTCACACCCATCATTAGAAGCCGTTTTGTGTGTGTTGTGACTGTTATCATTAGTGGTATAATTTTATTTTGTGAAGTGAGGAGAGTTTCCTGCTTTCTTGCAGCCCTCCCGAGGGACGGCTGGTGTATTAATTTGCTGTATTGCCTCCTGGCTGTTCCCAGGCTGTTTTTTCCTCTTCATCATGGAATTTTTAATGGCCCTCCTGCCTCTTGGGAGGCATGCAAGGAAGAGTACCTCAGGGATCTCTTCCTTTTTTCACATGCCTATAATTACTCTCCTTTAAGAGCACAAAGCATTTGCTAATCATGTCTTGTCTGTTAAGGTTTTGGCTTCATGCAGGCTTGCTAAAAGCAAGCAAGTAGAGACTTGCGTGGGCAAGTGATCCTTCCCCTCTTTCTCTTCTGCCCATTTGCCTCTTTTGGAGAAAGGAGTGATCTGAACAGAATTTCTTCTTGAACCCTACTTAAGAGGGGTTTGTACAGGCTTAAAGTGGAATATTTCATTAGATTTTGGTTATTCAATGGCTCTGTCAGTGGGAAGATGTTATAGGTTCTTGGTTGATGGACTGTTATTCCCTTAAGGGAGGGTAAGAGTTTCAGAAGAGCCTAGAGCCAGTGTTCCCTTCAATTTCATTTTGAATAGCAGGTAGAATAAGAGAAGAAAGTAGAAGATAAATTTTCCCTAATGCCATTTATTGTTTGCCTTGCCTTGAAAATAGGGTTATGGGTGAAAAATGCAATTAAATGCTCTCACTGGAGGTCATAGGAAAAGTGCACCTCAGATAGCAAGTAGATGTTGAAGGTGGAGATTTTGAAGAATTATGTTAGAGGCCTCTGAAAATCACTTTGCATGTACTCTCAGTTGAAGTCAATTGTAAACCTAGAGTTTAATTGGATTTAGAAGCAAGGCTCTCATCTTACTGGAACATGGGATAAAGATCTAAAGGGGTGAGTCATATAGTGAACTGCCTCACACCCTGGATTTGGTTAGAGTGAAGAGGCTTGAATGTCTCTAATTCTAGTTCCATCTCTAGAAGTATGCTCATCAAAGTAAATCTTATTCTTTTTCTTCTGTATCTTTGCAGAGATCCTGATATTTCTGACTCTTACCCAAGTATGTGGAAGTACAGGGAATCCCTGCAGTAACAAACACTGTCATGTCTTCCTTTGCTAAAGCCTGGCTAATATTCCAGCTGGGGATATAACTGAATTCTTTTGACAGGCATGCAGTGAACAACAGCTACCAGCCTAGTGTCACATGCAATTGTCTGAGGCCTAATGCTCCCATTTTGGTGAATCCTAATTCTCTGAAAATAAATTCCCCTTAGCTTCAGAATTTTGTTTACCTGCTATTGCTTTATTCTTCTTAAAGTATGTTGCCGTTATCCAATCCATGTGCTCAGCATGTATGGCAAATACTGGGACTCTTTCTGGAAAAGATATCATGTAATTTAGTATGAAAATTGAGAATGCAATATATGGGATCACATTGTCTCTGCTTAGAACACTTAACATGGAAAACAAGAAGAAAACATGTTCACTTGTATTTGCCACACACAGACTTTTTAGTAATGGAATTTGCTATGTCATTACAATGCTTACTTGGGGAGCAGTCAGCTGCTGCATGAAGGCCTATGAGATTTGGATAATTTAAGAAGTGAGCTGACCTGTTTGTGATTTTTGGAATCTGAAAAGGTGCTCTGGAAGCTCTCCCATGAGGCTCTGCAGGGTAGAGGAGAGACTCCTATTCACAGGAAGTATCTACAGTGTGATGTGACAGCAGGAGCCACTTGTGTGTGTGGAAGCTTTGCATGCAGATCGGATGCACAAGTTGTACTGATTTGCACATGTTATGTGCAGATCAGACTTTGGTGCCCAGCTGTCTTTATAGGCAAAGAGGAGGAAGAATTCTGCTTTCACTATTAATTTTGTGAAGCTACCATCAACAGCCTCAGGTAGGGGCTTAGAGAAAGAGCCTTTTATTTGGCCAGTGTTTGCTGGGAATATTGCATCACAACAGCAGGAGCTGAGTTGTGTGGAGTTTTAGTAGCAATATCCTTGTTAGGAGGCTGTCTCTGTTGAACATTTACTTTAACATGAGGATAATAACATCCCTTGTTTGTATGACAGTAGATTAATGACTGCCTCTCACTTTAACTACATAATCCAAGTACTTTGCTTCCTGTAAGGATGCAGCTGAAATAAAGATTGTCAGTAGACAAGCTGGATGATGTAAGATTACAGTGAGAGGCATACACCCCCAAATGTGCCCTCTGCCTCCCGCCTTCAAGAAGGCCCCAGACTGTCACAGCTCTGTAGTCTTCTCTGAGACCTCCATTGTAAGTTTAAGGTATTTTTTACTCTAAAATGTGCAGATTGCTTTATAATCTAGACTTTGCTTCACAGGCAGTGAATGTTCCAGGGGCCTCATGCTGTTCAGTAAGGGTCTTTGTGGGCTAGTGTCTGCTTGTTCTCCATATTGTATGCCACAGATTGTCCTCTCAATCCTAATTTTCTGTTGAAACCCTGTGGTGGATGTACAATAGTGGCAACCTCCTGTGACCCTAATGTCCAGCATGTGGTCACCTTGAACTGGAGGAGTAAGATAGGAGTCCGGTTTCTGCAATTAAAATTCATTTAAAAAAAAGAAAAAAAAGTCATAGAATAAATAAGTGAAAAAGAAAGGAAACATTACTTTTGACACATTAGAGACAACAATGAATCTCAGTTTTCTGCATAGCAAAGCATGCTTTTTTTCCAGTGTGACCTGCATGTAGAATCAGGTACCTTAATGTACCTCAGGTCTCATGTTAAGAACAAGAGACAAATCCATATATCCTGGGTAATTTCTTTAGCTTGTGATTTCAGACAAAACCAAACAAATCCAAACACTGTCAGAAAGACACTGTAAACTTTTTTTAATATAAAATAATTTTTTCTATACATACGCAATTTGTAATTCACTAACTCCTGACAGTGAGGACCTGCAGTGTTAGTTGGATAATATTGCAGCTGTGAATGTGTCTGCACTTTGGATCGTGCTTTGTCTCTCCAGGTGTGTTCTACTTTTTCTCTTCCCAGGTTAGAATTTCAGTCCTCTTTAGACTGTAAACTAGGTTTTCACATTAGTCTCTAGTCACCTGGCAGCTCCAGCTGTGACTGGGCACTGCAGCTTTGTTTTTTTTTTATGATGATCAACCAGCTATAGTCCAAAAGTAACCAGGGAATTATTTTCTGGTACTGTTTGTGCAACATCGGAGAAAGTGTAGAAGCTTAGCAGAAGAGATTAAAAACAGGTAAGGACAGAGAAAGTGCCATTCTGGTTTCTCGGCGTAGAATCATAGAATAGTTAGGGTTGGAAAGGACCTTAAGATATCTAGTTCCAACCGCCCTGCCATGGGCAGGGACGCCTCACGCTAAATCATATCACCCAAGGCCTCGTCCAACCTGGTCTTGAACACTGCCAGGGATGGAGCATTCGCAGCCTCCCTGGGCAACCTATTCCAGTGCCCTCACCACTCTAACAGGAAAGAATTTCCTCCTTATATCCAATCTAAACTTCCCCTGTAGGCCTACGTCTTTTACCCCACGAAGCTCTGTGCCTCAGAATTCTTCACAGAGGGCTTTGTGACTGCACAGATGTGCATTTTCTGTCAGCCTTTCCTCTCAACCCCGTTCTGTTCTACTTCAGAGTAATTTTTAAACTGTTCAGAAAAGTTGTTAAGTTTCAACTTTGGCAGAAAAGCTAATTAATGGTTACAGCCTGTCAGTGAGATTTTCACAGTTTATGATTCAGCCTGTCCACTACTATGTTGTGTGCTTCACATGACCTGACTTTCCTGGTGATGGTGTTCCTAGGAGTCTGCTGTTAAACTGGGATTCGCCAGTTCTGTTCTCTTACTGATACAGCACAAATATGCAAGCTAGTGATTAGAAATTTAGATTGAAAAGTGTCCTACCAACCCAAAAAATTCATTTTTCACAAATTATACCTCAGACAGTCTTTCAGTCCATGTCTTAATAAGGACTGTCGTCCCTACATGCATTCTTTTGCTCCTCTCTCTCCCAAGGTACTTACCACCTGGAAATGCAGATTTATGGTGCCTGTAAAGTGCACCAGGCACTTGAAACTGACACTTTTACCACCAGGTCAGTCAGAGCCAGTCCGTAATCAATACGTTCCTGATTTACTAACTGAAGTGTGGGTGATCAATAAAGGATAAACCTGAATGAAATACATGTTACAGAGACAATTTATGACCTCTGAGCCTTTGTGTGTTAGAGGCAGGCCTGCTAGATGCAGTGTCCTTGCTATTAGTCTCCAGCTAGAGTATGATTTGCCTTTACTTTCATAACAAGAAGGCATTTTGAGGTTCTCATTCACATTCTGTGCCCCCTCCACCCTCCCTGTAATAATGAAGTAAGGGTAGATAATAGTTTGAGCATGGAGCTGAGAGCAGGAGCTCTTATTTAAAATCTAGTTTTTAACACTTGTGAGCTGGAAAAGATTACATAAAGTCTTAAAAATTGATAGCATATACTTTTTTCCTAGTCTGTAGTGATTCTCCACCAAGGATCAGATGGCTAATGGTGGTGTAAGTTTATAAAATTAAAAAGGGAACGATATTATCATGGAATAAAATGAGTTGTATTATTATATATAATTATGTAGCCATCTAGTTAGTAATTTAATACTGTGTCACTGATGCAAAATAAAAACATGAAGTTCCACTTGATTGAGGCTATCTTTTCCTTTGGCTATGTGTGTGCCTAAGTGTTTCAGATTACATGGTGGGACTGGGCTACAATGCTGTATAGCCCCAATGCTCATAGCATATGTGAAGTCACTTTGAGGTTGGTCACTTATGTGTACAAACTCGAGATTTGAATATGTGGTTTGTAGGTGTGCTGGTATTTTTGATAGCCTTTATTTGGTTCATGTTTTCAGGAGATTCCTGTGTCTGGTTACATTAACATGCGTTCCCAGATTTGAAAAACTGGCTGTCAGTGAAACTTGGCACAGCTTAAAAGTTTTTGAAGCTATTCCTTAATGTCAAACTTCGATGACAGATTTTTTTTGACTTCTTGTAGAACTTCTGAGTTTTAGTTGAGAGAAGACTAGATAGTTCTTTCTTTGTGGTTGTGCTTTGTTACATGTGAGTAAGTAGACCCAGCAGCATTCAAACAATTTATAGTCTTGACTGGTATGGGAAATATTTTTGTATTCCCTACACTGTTCTGTATTGCTACAAGAGTACACTTCGATTTTGCATAAATACAGTGTCAAAAACTATCTATTATAAATATGCTGCCTTTAAAAAAAAAAAAATGTAGATTTTTGGCATGGAAATACAAAGCCATAAACTTTTCCTGTTGTTATTTGCAGAAGATTTCAGTACTTGATAAATGTTTGTTAAACTTTCAGGATTTTTTTTGTTGTTGTTGTTAATTAAATAACAGGCTTTAAAGATACAGAGGCTTTTCAGCACTTTATCATCAAAATGGATATGGTTCCAATCTTTGCAGTATATAAGCACTCACAATCTTATTTGCATTCCAGTTCTGCATTTTGCGCATCAGATCTGATGCAGAGAGTGACCAAGGAACATGCCAAAAAACCTCTGGTATATTGGACAAAGGAGGGATTTGAACCCAACATCATTGCTAAATTACACTTTTTATTCATTATGGATTGTATTTGAGAAAGTTCTCTGGTTTGCTCCCAAGACCGTCTTTTCTGAAGTAAACTTCTCTTCTTCCTCCATCTAGAACTTGGAGAAGTGCTCAGTTCAAGTCAGTCCCAATAATGCAGGTTTTCTTAATTGGCAAATGGCCAAACTGATGATCATTGGCAAGCTTCAGACTTACCAGTTAATAATGACTGGTTGCCTAATGACAAGCCTTTCAGCTTGTTTACAGGTGCAGCAAGCACGTATTGCCATCAGCTAGTTCAGCTGTTGTCACAGCACTTCGATAAGGAAATAATAATTTTGAAAATGCATCAGATTGTTTTGCGTTCCTAACTTTATGAACTTACTGCTGTAGTGGAAAGTTTATATGGACAGTTGGAATATGGGTATTCCCCTGAATAGGTTGGAGGGTGATTGGCCAGTGTCTTACAGGAAGGTGATACTAGAACAAAGTTTTATTTGTTTTCATTTCTCTGTAGGCAAGCAAATATACACCTGGGACCACCATGTTCAAGGGACATCAAGAGGAAACGGAAGCCAGTTGCAGCGTCCATGTCCAGCCCAACATCAGGTGACCTGATATCTGTGTGCCAGCATTTCTGAAGTCTCTCTTGAGCAAAGTGCCAGTCAGAATAGTCAAAAATATCATTACCTTGATTTAGAACTATTGAAACGTGTGTGAGAAGGGCAACACGTGAGAGGGAATATCGTGGTTTTTCATAGTATCAAAAGCTGCCTACTAAAGTGGCACTATAGCACGTTAATGTAATTTACAGTGTGTCATTATACAGTGGGTAATATGTTTCTTCATAAGGTGTTATTTCCACCATTCTTAAATTATGCAGTACATGGTAATAAGAAGGCGATTGCTGTTCATAGTGTGTTCCTTCAGTGTTGGGCTGACATTAGCTGGTGGCTCTGGTGCCCTTTTTCAGAATGTTTTTAGGCACTTTTCCAGGAACAGAAATTTAGCATTGTCTCTTCACTGAGTGAGGCCCTGGGAGCTGTCTTAGTCTTATGAATGAAAATAATAACTTTTTTCTTGCTCTGGGGACATACTAATTAAAATGCTGGTTTATTTTCATGTGGTATATTTCTGGAAAGAGACTGATTACTTACCAGGAGCTGAAGAAGCTTTACTCTGCAGACCACAGAGCAGTTTTGCAGACTTTTCTCTGGCCTCTCACCCTACCCTCTCTTGAAATATTCTGCCTACTATCAAGTGACCCATGTTCTTCCAAGTAGCTTATTAAAAAATTATTACTGTAATTCAGTAACAAGAAGGTGGGTAAGCTCGTGGGAAAAATGGTGGTGTGAAAACAGTGGGGAAGACTGAAAGAATTGGTGATTAATTCCTATTCATGAAGTTTAGGTTTCTTCCTTAGACTGTTGGATAGACAGTAGAATAATGGAAGAGGGAAGAAAGTTGTGCTGGTTTTCCAGGCCACAGATCTGGATTACAGACTGTCTGAAAGGTTCTGTGTTAAAAATTAAGAGGAAAAAAAATAAAATTACTAATCTGTTGCTCAGCAAAAGTAATTTGTTATTGAATGTTTATTTAGGATATTCTTTCCTGGCTTTTGACTATTCCATGATAGGATATGCCAACTTCTGTAGTGAAAGTTAGTAAAATTGCATATCCATAGCCACAGAATTTTTCTTCTGGGAATACTAGGTTTTCTTGGTAAAATGCTAGTGTCTCACTGTCCCCTCTTACCTATCCATTAATTTATTGTTCAGATTATATTCTGTACTGCATTGCTGGTCACTTTCTATAGGGAGAGCATCTCTTTCTATGCCTACATGTTTCAAAATACTATGTATGTTGTACTTACTTGACTAGGCAAATTGTACAGGGACACTTTTTGAAGACTTGAATCTGCACCTGGGGTGGAACCAACCACTGGAATCTTGGTTTCGTTTGGGATAATTTTGTTCCTAGTAGCTGGTGCAGTGCTGTGTTTTGGCTTTAGCCTGAGAACAATGCTGATAACACACCAATGTTTTAGTTGTTGCTCAGTAATGCTTACCCTGATCAAGGACTTTTCAGTCTTTCATGCTCTACCAAGTGAGGAGGGGCACAAGAAGCTAGGAGAGAGCAGAGATAGGGCAGCTGACCCCAAACTAGCCCAAGAGGTATTCCGTACCACAGCACATCATGCCCAGTGCATAAACTGAGAGGAGTCACCTGAAAGGCCCCAGATCTCTGCTTGGGTCGGGCTGGTGGTGAGCAGGTGGTGAGCAATTGTACTGTGCATCACTGTTGTTTATTGTTTGTTTTCCTTTCTCCTTTTAGTTTTATATTCTCTCCCCTTGTTATTTTCCTTAGTAGTAGTAGTATATTGTACTTTGGTTATTGTACTGTTCTTATCTCAACCCATGGGGTTTACATTCTTTCAGTTCTCCTCCCCATCCCACCCAGGGAGAGGGGAAAGCTGGAGGTGAGTGAGTGGCTGTGTGGTTCTGAGTTGCCAGCTGGGTTTAAACCACGACAGTAGCAGAGGGGTTTCAGAGTTTTTTCCTTTTAAGGGTGAGGGGAAGAAAATTAGAGTATGCGTTACAAAGTAAGGAAGAAGAGTGTGGTTACTGGAATCCAGACAGGATGCCTGGTGATCAAGAGAAAAGTGCTGCAAGGTTTTTCATGGTCAAAAAGGGTAAAGATTTCTTACTTAGACCCTATTTAGAAATACCCCCAGGAAAGGTAGTAGCTATGGACAGGTTTGCTATAATACTGACTTGTGGAAAAAACCTTCAGATTGTGTAGCGGAAACTGTGTTCTAGCTGACTTAGTACAGCAGTCTTCCAATTGTAGCTGGAGCACAACCTGGGGATGTAACTTGGAAACTTCTGAAATCTGATATTATTTCTGTCAAAGGTGATCTGTCTGGAATTACTAATGCCTAAAGAAATATATAGGATTACTCTGCAATAATGTAGAATTGACTGATGACTCTCCTGCTTAAACATTGCTGAGATAGTTACAGATTTTTCTCCCTTGCCATGCATCTACTCGTCCACTCATAAATGTCTTACTGGGGCTCCCCTGTACCTAAGGAGTCACAGCAACCTCGTTTTCTTACTACAGAGGCTTTTTGTTTGTGGTGTTTTACTACTTCTTCAAAAGATGAAACACAAGTAGATCAGAACACAGGCCTATGCCTGTCACTGCAGGCGCACAGAGTGCTGGATTTCTTCACCTTTAAATAACATCTTAGCTGAGTCCAATTGCTCTCGTCTCACTTGTTGACCAGGTCCTGCTTCAGTGATCTCCTTTTTTTGCAACCTGGGTGCCCCATGGAGGTGAAGGACATAGCCTGAGCTGGCTCCATCAGTCAGCAGAACAAATGGGCTTGCTCTGCTGAACATCGGGCCATCTCGGATTCCACCTCTTTTATAGAGATGAGTGATGAAGAGGGGCTCGTTCCGCTTTGCCGCTGTATTAATACACATCAGGGGCCAGCTCCCGGCACTAAATCACACTACTGCATACATCTGTTATCGGGCTCCTCACCAGTGTGATGAACAAGACTGCAGATAGAGGCTTCCTTGTGTCATTCTTTATAGGATTTTCCTAAAAGAATAAATAGCTCAAATCTCTGCCAACACTCTCCCCTGTCATTGTGATGAATTTAGCTTCTTTCTTAAACATGCAGCTACAAATCTTCCCCTAATGCCTCACCCCCCCCATCATCTACAGAAAGTTTTGAGTTGAATTTGGCTGAAATCAGAAGATTCTAATAAAAAGCATACGAGATGTGGATGCTGTCTCCCTTCTAGCTGCAGGAATTTGAGAAGGGAACTAGAGATACATTTATTTGGGAGTGAAGCAAGCTAAGTTTATTCCATGTCTTCTCACATAGTTTTATGTAAGTGGGTATTTATGGGTTCTGGTAAAGCATCTTTTGACAGAGACCATTGTATGAACATCCAAAACCACGCATTACTGTAGCAGAAATGCTTAGGTCTCTATTTTATTGCTATAGCATTAAACTTCTGGTAGTAGTACTGCGCTTTGAGGTTAACAGGCCTAAATAGTGTAACTGAGATAGAGATTAAAGAATAGTGTTTTGGAAAAAGGCCTGGCTGTTGAGAGCAACAAAATATGGGTAGCAAATTCAGAATTTATTTGCACTTCAGGAAGTGACTGTTATCAAAATTAAGTTGGTCAAACTTACGCCTGTGTTGAGAGAGATTGAAAATGAAAATGCTTTCCACACTACACAGTTGTGCAGTATGCGAGCCCTAAAGCTCTCACCAGGTAAGAACAAAGGTCTGGCTGGTGTAGTATGGGAGTAGAATAAGGAAATCTGGAGGAAGTAAGAATGGCTGTACTGGATTAGACCAGAAGTTCATTTGACTCGGTGACCAACGGCCAGTGCCTAGGGAGGAAGAAAGTTTGTTGTGATAAAGGTCCTTCAAATTTTCAGTGATGTAAGACAGGGCCTTCAGAAGGCACAGATAGTGTACTTGTGTGTAATTACTTTCTGTTGCAGTGCAAATAGAGTTGCACTAATGTCCCCAATGGCACAGCAGAGCTTGTCTGATAAATACTGTATAAAATGTTATTCTTGTCATAGTATATGATGAAGATTGTCATGTCTGTCTTTGGTTTGTCAGAAGAGGCCACAAGTATAGATGGTTGTGAAATAAATGATGAACAATTGTCCAGCTTTACACTGATGCTTTTAATGTTTATTGTGGTCCAGTCCCAGTGAGTCTGGTGTAAAAATCTGCAAAAGTAGATCTTTGTCTGCCTTGTCATGTATTCACACTTAGATTGTGAAAAATAGTAACTTCTAAAAAGTGCCAGTTAGCAGCCTCTGAAACTGCTTATCAGAGAACAGCCTGATGAGTAGTAGCAGTTTTGTGATTTTTCTCTCTCCTGTTTCTTGCCGATGAATTCACCTTTTGTCATGGTATGATGGTACCCAGCAGCAAGAAGCCTGTTTTAGTCCTTTGCTGTTTTTTTTTTTCTTTTTATGAGCAAAGATAGAGAGCCTGAGTGGGGAGACTGCTAGCAAGGGCCCCATAGTGTAGTATTGGTGGTGATTATTAAAGGACTTCATTGTTTTTCCATGTGTTATCTGACCTTTAGATGGAGGAAGCTGATGGGCTTGAGCTAGAATATGCAATGTACTGTTATCAGCTGTGTTGTTGTGGTTGTATGGGAATGACTCACTGTTTTGAATGTACAGAATTAGGGTTGTTTGGGTTCCAGATCTACTGAGTGGGGAACCTGAAGCATTGAATCAGCTTTTTATTTAAACTTCAAAGCAATCAGTCCACTAGTTGAAGCTTGTTATGGCCTCTTTATCCTTCATCTGCTAAAGAGCAGCAGAGGCAACTTGTAATAAAAACACACAAACAGCTATTATCTATTGTGAGAATACAATGGAAGAGAGATATGTTTCGTACTGAAGCAAGCGCTTGTTCAGAAAGCTTCTGGTTGCCCCAGAGACTCCTGTGACAGCAGCCTTTTCTTTTTCTCCTGCCCTGTTCTGCTTTTGAGGATTGAATGATTCAGGATACTGAGAATGGGAGCAAACTCTTCTCTCCTCTGGAAATTTGGGTGGCTGCTGGTTTGAGCTATGGATCTGCAAATCTCTCTTGCTAATTATAGCCTGTCCCATTTTGAAGTAGTGCTTGTATGGATAAAATGAGAATGGATTCCAGCCTAGCTTAGCGAGTAGCTTCTTGGTATAATATGGTGATTTGCCATACTAGATATATGTGGAGGTTTGTGGTACTGCCTTTACTGCGTAAGGAGGGGAGGTATATTTTCTTCTATAACTGAGCTTTGCAACCTGAAATTTGCCAAACTGTCAGAGACTTTGAAATTCCCAGATGTAGGGTTAACTGAGTCTTTGTAAAGAGATCAAAGTATTTTCAGTTGAGTGATTATGAATTGATCCTGTTTAAGTATGGGACAGCTCTTGATTTCCAACAGGAACTTTCACTAAAGGAACTAGTTAGTGGACTGGGAGCTTGGAGTTCTGAATATGAGAATCATTATGGCAAAGGTGTTAATGTTATCAAGAACCTGTATTTCAATGGAATTTGGTGGGGTAACTTGTAGGAACTCAGGGAAATAACACCTTCTTACACGAAAGTACATATATGTGAGGTGTTTGCCATGAAATCACTTGCTCTAACTATTTAATTTTTTTTTTATTGCCCATTCCTACTTTCTTCCTCTGTTCCCCCTTCCCTGAAATTTTCTATTCCAGCAACTTTATCTGTCCACATGGATGCAGCAGAGTCAGAGCTACCAGCAACACCATCTCTGAGATCCCAGAGCTCTGAATGGACAGGGAAAACACCAGCAGCGGAGAAAGCTACTATCACTGCCTCCAGTAACTTTTTTAAAATGCCACCAGAGAAGAGCCCTGGATACAGCTAAAAGGAAGCATTGCAACTGTAAAAGCTTGGATTTTGAAAGTGTTTGACTCTTGTGTGTCTCTGCCAAACCTCTTGTTTGGTGGTAGTGATAATCTTCAGTATTGGCGCATGATGCCTAGCATCATCCAGACTGATCTGTGCCCCATACACCTAAACCATGTTTGTGAATCTGTGTTTAAAAAAAAAGGTAATCGGTGTTGGGACCTCAGTGGCTTTTAAAAATATTCTTGCTATTGTTGTATTTATTATGCATTCATCTCCTTCCCTGCTGCCAGCTTGTATGTGCTGGGTCATGTACAGATTCTTCTGGGTTTTCAGATCTTTATTCACCCCCTGGACATGTTGCTTTTTGTGCATTTGGTGTTTTTTAGGTGAAAATCCCCCTGCCACTCAGGCAAGTGTCTCCCCCTGGTTTGTTTGTTTTTTTTTCGGCTGGGGAATGAGGAGGGAATGCAAACAAGTTGAAATATGGACCCTGAATTCTGTATTAGGAGAATGTTTTCAGGCCATGTGCTAATGGACTCAAATCACGTTGTTTCCAGTGAAGCAAATACGGTGCTTGTCCATTCAGAAATTGCCATTGGCTTACTGGCAGCATGATCCACTAGACCGTTTCCTTCTCCGTTGTTCTGAATGTCTTTAGTCTTGCTTGTGTATTGCATGGTCTTTCCTAAATCTCCTACTGGATAAGGAATTGGGAAAACTACTTGGACATAAATGTGCAAGCTGACGTATTTGAAAGGAACCTGGGCCCTTGAATATCCTTGGAGTATGATAGAGGATATACAAAATTCCAGTTTCTCAGTGTATAAATTATAAAATGACTTGTTAGCATTTCTGCAGGATGCTTGCCAGAGAGGTTAACATGCTGTTGAACAAAAAAGCCATTTAAAGTACCGCCTGAGTTCAGAATATTCTGGGTGTTGATCAGACCTCTTCTATCTAAGTCTTTCCCTCCCTTCAGAAAGTATTGTCTGCTCTCTTTTCTAGAGATGTCTCCACCTATTGATGACTGGACTTTGGAGCATACACAAATGAGATTCTCTTCTCTTCATAGCACTTCCACTTGTTCCTCTGTTATTTTGTGTTGCAGAATATGTGGATAGTGATTTCTTCCCTCTCTTTTCTTGAATTCTTGATCACGCTTCCCTTTTAATTACTCTGTCTGGAGCTTGTTTTAAGCTATGTTTTTAGAATATACTCCTGCATAGCTAGTGTCAAGGAACAGGTGGCCTCATGGCTTCATGAGTCCTTTAAAAATAGGATATATTTGTATGCTTACAACTCTTTTTTGTTTTCTTCACTGGGTGGAGCTTTCAAACAGTACCCTTTAAGCTCTAAATTTCATTTTGAATGTGGAGGTGCAGTTAGCACTTTTAAGTGGATAACAAAATTTGCATGAATTTAGTGGTTTTGCAGTCTCCTGCTCTCCCTTATAAATCAAATAGCTGAGGGAAATATCAGAGTTTGAGACTATAAAGCAGTGATTTATATTTAACTCTCTATTAAAATGTTAAATGCTTATAACATACACAAAACAAAAATTGAATGACTTGCTAAATCATGATTGACATATACAGTTATACTATAGACACAGTGTCGGTGTCTCATCCCCTAAATACCTACTTATTTTTGGGGAGACATCTAAATTGGAGTTACATTTCCCAGCCCAAGCAAACTGTCAGATCTGTCATTATAAATCCCTCTCAAAACCGTTTTTTTTTTTTTTGGTGGTGGTACATTTTTAGAACTAATTAGAACAGAGAAAGCCTTTTTACCTTGCTGAAGGAGTACAGAGGTCTGTTTGGATTATGGAACAAGCTGTAAGGGTTTTGCGGAGAGAGGAGTGTTCCTGTTTTAAAGTAGTCATTGGATTGTCTTATTTTTGTAGGTATTTCGAGCAGTGGTACTTAAGAGGTGGCAGGGAAAGCCTTGGCACTGTAAGGGCCTGGAGATTACTGGAAGTTACTGGAGAGCCTGTAATTTAGAACAAACAAAGAGAAAGTAAACCTGAGCAGTAGTAGCTTGCCTATCTAGTACTCATGAACACAGTGAAGGGGAAAGGTGGTCACATTCTCCTGCCAACCTGCAGATACATTTTAGGATTGGCAGCCTCATAACCTAACTCGCAGGCTGCTTTAGTGACAGGGAGTGGTTCTCTAAAATGTGTTTGTGCAATTGAGTGGTTTTAATCTCTGCAACCTCTCTTGGTTTGAGCCTGTTCAACAGATTTCCTCAGATTACTGATCCTTCAGCTAAGATTTTAAATTGTGGCCTTTGTGTTCCCCTTTTTAAAACAAATTCTGCTATATCCTGCTACATTCCAAGTGTCATTCAGAGTAGTTCTGTTTCTTCTGTGGTGTCATGGCAATTTTAAAACTTTCAGAACAGAGGTGTTTGAGGTGTTCAGGAATCTTCATTGTGGCAGTGGGGGGGGTTGCCAGGCTTCACATGATTTTTCTCTAGGGGCAGGGAAAGATAACTTACCAGATTTTCCTATTGATGTCTGCTGCTCTCGTGAGACCTCACTTGCTCTCATGAGACTTCACCTGGAGTATTGTGTATAATTCTGGTGTCTTCAACATAAAATGGACATGCACCTGTTGGAACAAGTCCAGAGGAGGGCCGTAAGGATGATCAGAGGACTGGAGCACCTCTCGTATGAAGACAGGCTGAGGAAGTTGGGGCTGTTCAGCCTGGAGAAGAGAAGGCTGTGTGGAGACCTCATAGCAGCCTTCCAGTATCTGAAGGGAGCCTATAGGGATGCTGGGGAGGGACTCTTCATTAGGGACTGTAGTGACAGGACAAGGGGTAACAGGTTCAAACTTAAACAGGGGGAGTTTAGATTGGCTACAAGGAAGAAGTTCGTTACTGTGAGGGTGGTGAGGCACTGGAATGGGTTGCCCAGGGAGGTTGCGAATGCTCCAAACGTGGCAGTGTTCAAGGCCAGGTTGGACAGAGCCTTGGGTGACACAGTTTATTGTGAGGTGTCCATGCCCATGGCAAGGGGGTTGGAACTAGAGGATCTTAAGGTCCTTTCCAACCCTAACTATTCTATTATTCTATTCTGTGTCAGTAGCACTGTTCATCTGGTTAAGGCCTTACTTGGGTTCTGAGCTCTTAGGAGGTCTTCCTTGTCTTTAATAATTGAATGTACCTGTGGCAGGCCTTAGGGGTCCATGAGTACTGGTCAGTTTTTAAGAAACATCTTTTAAAAGCTCAAGAGCAGGCAGTCCCTTTGTGTTGAAATTCTAGCAAGTAGCACAGAAGACCAGTTTGGCTGAACAGGGAATTCCTTGGAACTCGGGAGGAAAAAGAAATTGTATGGTCCTGGGAGAAGTAAAGTTAGGGTTTGCAGGAAGATTATAGAATCATAGGATGGTTTGGGTTGGAAGGGATGTTAAGATCATCCAGTTCCAACCCCCCTCCCGTGGGCAGGGACACCTTCCACTAGACCAGGATTTTGAAATCCCTATCCAACCTGGCCTTGAACACTTCCAGGGTTGGGGCATCCACAGCTTCTTTGATTAGCGTTTTCCAGTTGGTCACCACCCTGTCACAGTAAATAGCTTATTTGTCGTATCTAATATAAATCTACCCTCTTTGAGTTCAAAGCCATTCCCCCTTGTCCTTGTACTATCACCACATGCCATTTTAAAAAGTCTCTCTCCAGATTTGTTGTAGGCTCCCTTTCTGTACTGCAAGGTGTTCTAAGGTCTCCCCAGAGCCTTCTCTTTCTTCTTCAGGCTGAACACACCCAACTCTCTAAGCCTATATTTGTAGGAGAGGTGCTCCAGCCCTCTGATCATTTTTGTGACCCTTCTCTGGAAGGCTGTGGTTTGCATGTACAGGGAGAAGACACAAAAGGCCAAAGCTTAGTGTTGAAACTGGCCAGTGTTGTATCAGGCAACAACAAAGGGTTTTTGAAGTACGTTAATAGCAAGAGGACGTCTAAGGAAAACTTTAGACTGATACTTGTTGAAGATGGTCATGTGAGAAATTGGGATGGAAGAAAAGTGAAAGCATTTAATGCTTTTTTTTTTTTCCTCAGTCTCTAATAATACTGACACATCTTGGGCTGCCCAGTCCTCTGAGTTGGAGGACCACAGCTGTGGGAACAGTGACTTTCCATTTGTGGACAGTGAAATTGTGAGGGACCAGTTGTATCAATTGAAGTCCATGAGTCTGGGAATTCATCCCAGAGTAGTGATGGAGCTAGTAGATGTTGCAGCAGGACCCCTCTTTATCATCTACCAAAGGTTTTGGGATCTTGGGAAGGTCCTGGCTGACTAGAAGCTAGCCACTGTTACAGTTAACAATAACAGCTTGAGGGAAGACCCAAGAAACTGCAGATCTGTTAGTCTGACCTCAGTACCTGGAAAAATTATGGGAAAGATCACACTGGGTGCTTCTGAAAGACATTTAAAGGACAATGCAATAAGGCACAGTCAGCATGGGCTCACAGAGGGAAAGTTCTCTTTAACTAATTTGATACCCTTCTATGATAAGATCACCTGCCAAAGGGATGAAGAGGAGGTGGTGGATGCAATTCTTCTGGATTTTAATAAGGCTTTTGATACTGTCCCTCACATCATCCTTCTGAACAAGTTGTCCAACTGAGATGAGCAGGTACACAGTGTGCTGGGTAAACAGCAGGGCTCAAAGGGTTGTGGTGAATAGGGCTACATCTGGCTGGCAACTGAACACAAGCAGCGTTCCTCAGGATTCAGTTCTAGAAACATTTCTAGTCAGTACTGTTTATGAATGATTTGGATGCAGGAGTTGAAAGTACCATTAGCAAGTTTGCTGATGATACTGAACTGGGAGGTGCTTTTGACCCTCTCAAGGGAGAAGAGGCCTTGTAGAGGGCTCTAGATAGGTTTGGCTATGGGAGCGCTGGGCTATGGTTAATGGGATGAAATCTAACAAGAAAATATGCTGGATTCTGCACCTGGGATGGAGTAATGCTGGACACAAGTATAAATTGGGAGAGAATTGGCTGGAGATCAGCCTTGCAGAATGGGATATGGGGGTGCTGGTTGACAGCAGGCTCAGTACAGCAGTGTACCCTGGCAGCAAAGAGAGTGAACGGTATCCTGGGGTGCATCAAATACAGTATAACCGGCTGGTCAAAAGAGGTTATTATCCCCCTGTATTCAGAGTTAATGTGGCCTCGCACTGAGCACTGTGTACAGTTCTGGGCACTGCAATTTCAGATGGATGTTAAGTTACTTGAATAATTTGTCCAAAGGAGGGCAACAAAACTGGTGACTCTAAGGCATGTCCTATGGGGAGTGACTGCGGACTATAAGGTTGTCTGGTTTGGAGAAGATGAGGCTGAGGAGCAACCTCACGAAGGGAGGTGGAGAGTGAGGTGCTGATTGTTTCCCCCTGTTTTCAATGATAGGATGCATGGGAATGGTTCAAAGCTGCACCAGGGGAGGTTCAGACTTGACATTAGAAAACACTTCAGGGAGGATGGTCAAGCACTGCAGCAGGCTTCTTAGAGAGGTGGTCAATGCTCCAAGCCTGTCAGCATTAAAGAGGCATTTGGACAGTTCTCATAATAATACACTTCATTTTTGGTCAGCCCTGAAATGGTCAGGCAGCTGGACTAATGATGATTCAAACTGAACGTTTTTATTCATGAACTTCATGAAGTTTCTGTCTTTTCAAGGTCCCTCTTGGGTGGAACCTCCACCCTCCATCAGTGTCTCCCCTCCCCAGCCTCCTGTTATTTCTGGTCTTGTTGAGAGTATGTTCTGTGTCTTTCCACCCAATCAGTAATAATCACTGAACAGTATCAAATCCAGTATTGTCTTCTGGGCCATGCTTTTCACAGGTGGCCATCATGCAGATTTCAAACCATTGATCATTACTGCGGAAAGTTGAGCCAGTTTTTCATGGACCTTTCTTAATGGATGACATTCAGTTCAGAGTCCATAGCTCCCCCAATCAGCATATATAGATACATATGTATATGTGAGAGACTACATCAGGAGGCTTACTGAAGTAAATGTAAACAGCATCCACTGCCCTGTATACATCCACAGAGCCTGTCATTTCATCACAGAAGGCAGTCAGGTTTGTAGGCATGATTTTCCCTTGTTTAATATAGTGGCCTGTTCCTAGCCACCTTCTTGTCCTTTGCATGCCTGGAAATGGCTTCCAGAACTTGCTTCATAAAGCTACAAGGGACCATGGTAGGGCTGACTAGCCTTTCATTCCCAGATCCTCCTTCCTGGCTTTTTAGAAAGGTGTCATGGTATGTACCCCTTCCTGACACAGGGGACCTCATGCAATTGCCACAACTTTTCTTAAGACAACCGAGACCAGTCTTATAACAGCATACTTTCACAAATGGGGCTTTATTTGTGTACTGGGAGAAGATGGACCTTCAGTGAAGGAGAAGTCAGGAGCTGTGAGAAGCACATTTACAGTCATTCTAGTGAGGCTTCATGCCCAGTGTAGTAGGTAATGGAGAAGTGCAGATTAAAAGAATAGAGTTTCTGGCCTGATGGATTTATGATTTTAAGGTAAGGTATAGTAAAGAGTGAAGAAGGCAACAAAAGAATGGCTGGAGAGAAATTCGTAAGAGACTACTGAATGATAGATTAGCTTCATGACTGTGGTATGCATAGGTGTATCTTGCGAGGATTCCTGAATAATGACATTGAGTCCCTTAGTGCTGGCCTTTCAGTTGTAGAAGCTCCTGCTGTTGCTTTGTGGATGTTGCAGACCTGCTTAATGGGCAGAGGATGAGGAAGGAAATTTGAGGAAGGGCATCAACAAGGGTGAAGTGTACCTCTTATTATAACCCTTTCTGCACTGAAGAAACAAGATGTTAAAAAAATGTGTGTGCCTGAGTATCGAAAAGGAATTCTGTAAAGTGGGTAAGAACTTTCTTTTGTCATCCTGAAGAACAGTTTTGTAATCAGAGAACATTTCAGTGAAGCAAAAGTGAAAGATGCTACCAGTTACTTGTTCAGAAAATGTATTCTAGTAGTCTGTTAGGAGACTATAAAAGGAAGACAAACTTCTGTTCTCATTGTGATTCTGCATTGCTGTGTCTTTGTCCCCTGCATTCTATTCCAGTTTGTGTTTTGTGCTTGAGACATCCTGCTTTTGTACCATCAAATGTGGGAAAAATACACTAATGCTTTTTAAGACATAAAGTGTAAGGGACCACTTGCTAAGCAAAAGGCAAGATAAGATTATTTTAACCCATTAACTTTTACCCAATACAAGGATTAAACTGA